TGCATTCCCACCAGCAATGCAGAAGTGTTCCCTTTTCCCCATAAATTGTTTCCTCTTCAGCATAAGTTGTCATCAGTGTTTTTGATCTTGGCCATCCTTACAGGTATAAGATGGAATCTCAGAGTTGTTTTGATTTGCATTTCTCTGATGACTAAGGATGTTGAACATTTCCTTAAGTGTCTTTCAGCCATTTTAGATTTCTCTGTTAAGAGTTCTCTGTTTAGGTCTGTACTCCATTTTTTTTATTGGATTATGTAATCTTTTGGAGTATAATATCTTGAGTTCTTTGTATATTTTGGAGATCAGACCTCTATTTGATGTAGGGTTAGTGAAGATCTTTTCCCATTCTGTAGGCTTGTCTTGTTTTGTCTTGTTGACTGTGTCCTTTGCTTTACAGAAGCTTTTCATTTTCAGGAGATCCCATTTATTAATTGTTTCTCTCAGTGTCTGTGCTGTTGGGGTTATATTTGGGAAGTGGTTCCCTGTGCCAATGCGTTCAAGTGTACTTCCCACTTTCTCTTCTATAAGGTTCAGTGTGACTGGCTTTATGTTGAGGTCTTTGATCCATTTGGACTTGAGTTTTGTGCATAGTGATACATATGGATCTATTTTCATTCTTCTACATGTTGATATCCATTATGCCAGCACCACTTGTTAAATATGCTTTCTTTTTTTCATTTGATATATTTTGCTTCTTTATCAAAGATCAGGTGTTCGAAGATGTATGGATTGATATCTGGGTCTTCCATTCAGTTCCATTGGTCCTCCTGTCTGTTCTTATGCCAACACCAGGCTGTTTTCAGTACTGTAGCTCTGGATTAGAGTTTGAAGTCAGGGATTGATGCCTCCAGAGACCTCAGTCCTTTTGTATGGAGGAGCGAAAGAGATAGGAGGTCAGATAGCTTCTCTGCCATTTCTCTGATCATTCAGGTTCTTACCCTGATATCTGCCTCTTTTGTTGTTGTTGTTGTTGTTATTCAAGACAGGTTTTCTCTGTGTAACAGCCCTAGTTGTCCTGGAACTAGTTCTGAAAATCAGGCTGGCCTCAAACTCACAGAGATCTACATGCCTCTGCCTCCTAAGTGCTGAGATTAAAGGTGTGTACTACTACCACCTGGTTTGGCTCCCAATTTTTTTTATCAATAAAGAATAATTAGATAATACATCATCTAGTGCCCAATGTGGGGCACAAAAGCATTGGTCCATGGATTTGTAGCTGCTGCAGACAGCTGGCAAGCACTGCCACCAGGAGCCACAGCTGCTGCCAGAAGTCACAGTCCCATCAGCCAGAGTTTTCCTCCCTTGTTGCAAGCCCCACAATGGTTTAAGTAAGGAACAACTAGATGAAAGGGTAATCAATTTAGCTAAGATTGACATAACATCAATTATAAACATTATCATTTTGGTAATTCATGTGTTATCCCTAGAAAACCTATTTGATATCAGTGCCAAATTAAAAATAAATGACCAATAAGATAAAATCTTTAGATAGACATACTAATGGAACTGAGGAAAATATTCACACAGAGATAAGGGCGCTCAGAGCAGAAGTTACTATATCATGGGATTATGAGACTGAATTTATCCAGTTACCATCAGATGATAAGCATGCCCAAGGCTACTTAGAAACCAACTGGGATCCTGCAAAAAGGTTAGATTTGAAGAGACTTAAGAAAGCAATAGTTTCATATGGTATGCATTCTTTTGTGTAGCAGACGTTAAAGTCATAGGCCACTCAGCACACTGGAAAGATTTAGTTATAGCAGTATTGGAAGCTGGCCCTCAGTTACAGTGGAGTACCTAGGGGAGAGATAAAGCTAGACCCATAGAACAGGGAGGTAGAGATAGAAGTTATAAGATTTCCCAAGATCAAATTCTCATTGAGGGACATTATGCTGATGTGGAAAGATAGATTACATTTGATAATAACACCTTGGCTCTATGCCAGACAGCAGCTTTGAATCCTTGGGACGAGACTGAAGAAATCAGGAAAGAGGACTGAACCATTTACTAAAATTGTACAAGGCCCAAAGAAGCCTTTAGATGAATGGATTAGAAATAGAGTTGTATTGAATCTCACATTTATGATGCTACTTGGATAGAAGTGACTTCTAAAAAATTTAAGAAAAATCGAAAGGTTGGATGTTTTAATTGTGGTAAACCAGGTCATCTAAAAAGGTACTGTACGCAAGGCATTTCTAGGAACAATGCCTTTTTTTTTTCTTAGAGATAATCCAAACAGAGACTCCTGCCTTTTGGAATATGCAGAAGGTGTGGCAAAAGATGACATTGAACTAATGAATGCAGATCAACATGAGACAGACAAAGTAACCCTTTGCAATGCCTTAGGGGCCCTCTCACAGGCCCCCATGTCAAATTCAATCATGTGGAAGTCAGAAAACAGTCGACAGGAAATTGAACTTGGGCTGTCATACTTGGGACAAAGTAAGCCCTGATTTCTGTCTTTGAGAAGTGTGTAGGGAATGAGTTAGAGTTGTGAAGTTGCAGAGATATCCTGATTTATCGGGAAGCCAGGCAGTACTTAGAGCCGCAATAGGACAGCTCTGGAGGGGTAGAGTTGCAGTAGGACAGCTCGGGGAAGGGTAGAGCCAAATTCTAGCCGAGGAAGAAGTCGAATCACAGGGAACACTTTCCAATCACACACCCTGAAGCTTCAACAAATTAGAATTTTAATGAAGAGTTGTTTACTTTGGCTTCAAGTTTTAGGAGTATATTTGTATGGTTGTATTGTACAGTAGTCTTGTAACCAGTATTCTTTCCTGTTCATAAGAGCTAAACACATGTACTGCGCATGCATGTATATAACAAATTAGCACACAATGTACTTGAGGCCATTACATTAAAAAAGCATTATTATCTTTATTATAAAGAACAGTAATTATAAATATATTAACATTTGTATATACTAGTAGTGTGTGTTTAAATAGAAAAAGCTTATCTACTGATTAGTTGATAAAATGATTTAGTTACCAGAGGTGCATAAGAATAAAGTCTCGGGGGCTGGAGAGATGACTCAGAGGTTAAGAGCACTGACTGCTCTTCCAAAGGTCCTGAGTTCAATTCCCAGCAACCACATGGTGGCTCACAACCATCTGTAATAAGATCTGGTGCCCTCTTCTGACCTGCAGACATCCATGCAGACAGAATGCTGTATACATAATAAATAAATAAATCTTTAAAAAAAAAAAGAATACAGTCTCAGTCAGGTAGTGGTGGTAAAGGCCTTTAAAAGGCCTTTAATCCAAGCCTGGTCTACAGAGCAAGTTTCAGGACAGCCAGGGCTACACACAGAAACCCTATCTCAAAATTCTAAAAAGAAAAGAGAATACAGCCTCAGTCTCAGATTTCCTGAGCAACAGTGGTTCAGTACAGAGTTTGATGTATTGTAAATTCAAAGACTAGAACTATCTCATATAACAAGAATTCACTACAAATGTAAAGATGTATGTATACGAGTATTTGTATCAGCAGGTTCTTCTATTTGTCACATCATTTGCACTTTGTAGGGTAAAAGGGACAACTGGAACAGGAAACCAACCAATCATTGAGCATCCTGATTCTGAATCCAGAGCCAGTGAAAAACACCCTGGATCTGAGACCTGGGCCAGGGTAATATCTTTATCCCTGAACCCAGGACAAAAGACACGTGCCCTGGCTCTGAAACTAGTGCCAAAGAAACACACACTGTCCCCAGAATCAGAGCCAGTGAAAGAAATATGTCCTGGTCCTAAGATAAGATCAAAAAGCTAAAAAGGACCAGTGAAAGAAACACAGTTTGGCCATGAAGTCAGCAATCTCTGCTCCTGATCAACTAAACTAACCAATCCCTCTTCTCCCTGGGAAAACTTTGCCCTTAAGAAGTCCTATATAAGACTCTCTGCCTGTTCAGTTAGAGGCTACCATTTATTCCTCCCTGGCAGAGGCAGCTGGTCTCCTGGACTACTTCCCAAATGAATCTCTTTCTCAAAAGTCTTAGAGTCTAGTCTTCATTTGGCACAGACTAGAAGAACCTGGCTGGGACGTCCCTTGGGGGACTAAGCTGAAAAACCTCCTTAGGGGACCTGAGCAGGGCAGAACAGAAGAACCTTGCCAGAATTCTCCTTAAGGGGGGCTGAACAGGCTACGCAGAAAAAAAAGTAACTTTTCCTCAAAGCTCGAGTAGAATGCTATATTTCTGCAGGGGCTTCCCCTTTAGCAGACTGTTAGAAAAAGAAATTTCTTGGGCCAGAAAAGAAGCAGATAGCTTTGCTAAGACATTCCCTTAAGGGAACAGAGCAGAGCTCAGCTGTAGCAGCTCTCCAGAAGAGCAGGATCACTATATCCTGCAGGAAGAGCATCCCCACTGTACCCCAGCTTCAGACAGCCTGGCTTCCCGATAGTCAGGACACCTGTCCTCTAGGGATGAGCTGTCCTATCGTGGCTCTATTCTCCAGAGCTGTCCTATTGTGGCTCTATTCTCCAGAGCTGTCCTATTGTGGCTCTATTCTCCAGAGCTGTCCTATTGTGGCTCTACCCCTCCAGAGTTGTCCTATTGTGGCTCTACCCCTCCAGAGCTGTCCTATTGTGGCTCTATTCTCCAGAGCTGTCCTATTGTGGCTCTATTCTCCAGAGCTGTCCTATTGTGGCTCTACCCCTCCAGAGCTGTCCTATTGTGGCTCTACCCCTCCAGAGCTGTCCTATTGTGGCTCTACCCCTCCAGAGTTGTCCTATTGTGGCTCTATTCTCCAGAGCTGTCCTATTGTGGCTCTATATTCCAGAGCTGTCCTATTGTGGCTCTACCCCTCCAGAGCTGTCCTACTGTCATTTGACTTCCACATGTGCACAGTGTCACACACACACACACGTGAACATGTGTACCAACCAAACAAACAGACAAAACCAGCCCCTATAATCAAAACCATTGAAGAAAAAAGTGGGGGGTTAAGAATATGATCGATATATATTGTGTAAAAATTTTTTAACTAAAAAAGAGCCGGGCAGTAGTGGTGCACACCTTTAATCCCAGCATCTGGGATGCAGAGCCAGGTAGATATTTGTTAGTTTGAGGTCAGCCTGATCTACAAAGTGAGTTCCAGGACAGTCAGTTAAACAGAGAAACCCTGTCTTGAAAAACTAAAAAACATTAAAAATAAAAAGAAATGTTGGCACAAAGCCCTTAATGGTGCAATTCTTTTGGCAGTGTGAAAACACATGGGGGTGAGGTCTTTTAGGTCTCTTGTGTTACCATGACAATTCTATTGCTTCCTAGGAAAATCAGAGAGGTCATGCAAACCTTTTTTTTCACCTTTGCTCATCTATCTCCCCCTCTATTGTTACGTGTTGCTTTAAAATACTCAAGTTAGATTTGATGAATAAAAGGATGATTATTTCTGGCATTTAACCAAATGCAAACAAAACTGGGTTTTACTCCAGATAATTCTCAGATAGTGTGCAAAGCTTAGGCTGGCCTGATTCTTTAGACAGCAAGTGATGACCTGTGACAGAAAGCTGTTATAGCGATGACAATCAAGTGTCTCTTCAGTATGAATTCCAGAAACTAAATTATTTCTCTGGCCATAGGATTTTCCCTGATAGTAACATTGAAAAGTATTTTTCTACCATATGCTTGTTCAAATGGATGAAGGGAAACACTGCCCCTATCTTTTAAACCCTGGTATGAATCTTTTGGTGTTGGATAAAGGATGAATTATGGCTGAAGGTCTTCCCACATTCAATGCATTCAAAGGGCTTTTCTCCAGTGTGAGTTCTCATGTGCCTAATTAAGGAAAAGTTGTCATAAAAGGCCTTCTCACATACTGTGCATTCGAAAGGTTTCTCTCCAGTGTGGATCCTACTATGCCGGAGAAAGTTTTCAGGTTGAGTGAAGGCTTTCCCACATTCTCTGCAAACATAAGGCTTCTCTCCAGTGTGGATCCGCATGTGTCGGATGAAGGAAGAGCTATAGTAGAAGGCTTTTGCGCATTCTTTGCATTCCAAGGGTTTTACTCCACTGTGGGTTCTAGTGTGTCGGATGAAAACCGAGTGGTGGGTGAAGGCCTTCCCACATTCATCGCACTCATAGGGCCTCTCGCCAGTGTGAAGCCTCGTGTGTTGAATCAGAGAAGAGTTGTCACCGAAGGCCCTTCCACAGTCTTTGCACTCAAAGGGCTTCACTCCAGTATGGGTCCTCTGATGCCTGATAAAAGTGGAGCGCTGGGTAAAGGCCTTTCCACACTCACTGCACTCGTATGGCTTCTCTCCAGTGTGGATCCGCATGTGCTGCATGAAAGATGAGCTGACACAAAACGCTTTCCCACACTCTTTGCACACAAAGGGCTTTTCCCCGGTATGGGTCATGCTGTGGTGGAGAAACGTCGAGTGGTGAGTGAAGGTTTTGCCACAGTCTTTGCACTCATAGGGCTTCTCTCCAGTGTGGGTTCTCTTGTGCTTCACCAATGTGGAGGAGTGAATAAAGGACTTTCCACACTGGCCGCACTCGTACAGCTTCTTTCCAGTGTGAATCTTCAAATGCTGAACAAACGAGGAGCTGTAGCAAAAAGCTTTCCCACACTCTTTGCACAGGAACGGCTTCTCTGCAGAGTGCGTCCCCTTGTGCTGGAGGAAAGTGGAGCGATGGGAGAAGGTCTTCCCACATTCTGCGCACTCGTAGGGTTTGTCTCCGGTGTGCAGCCGCATGTGCTCAGTGAGGTGAGAACTGCGCTTGAAGGCCTTCCCGCACTCGACGCACTTATGTAGCTTCTCCCCAGTGTGAATCCTCATATGCTGAACAAAGCCAGCCGTGGAACGACAGATTTTCCCACACACACTGCATTCATAAGGCTTTGCTCCAGCATGAATCTGCTGGTGCCGTACTAAGGTCCGATTGTTCCTAAACACTTTCCCACAGTCTTTACACTGATAAAGGCTCCCTACATCAACCACAGGCTCTTTTTCTGGTCCTTGAGAATCATGTGCATGGTAAGAATCTCGTGGAGTGGCTTGCTCCTGAAAGACTTGTAAACAGAGACCATCATCTGTCTCCAAAGCCTCATGATTATAAGCCAGCTCTCCAGGGCATGTCTTCTTGGAAGAGTCTGTTGTCCTTGTGGTCCCACCTGGCATTTCTGACCATGTTTCTTTATCCTTGGTCTGCCCTACCTTGAAGTCCTCTGAGGATCTCTGTGACAGTTGTTCTTGGAAATAGAAAGTCCATGGAGAAGCACTGGGTTTTGAGGAGTCAGTGGACTTTACTTCTTCACCTAAAGAAAACCAACAAGAACAGGTATCTGTTTACTAGTAAACAGAACCAAGCACCAACGAAGCAGAAGATGAAAATATTGCCTCTGAAGGTGATTACTGCATTCATGTCTGTCCTAAAACCATGTCTGCAAGTTCTTTTTCATTCACTCAGGCTTGGACTCTTAACATCTTTCAGTGGAAACATCAGAGGAGAAGCTGGGATGGAGAGAGAACCAAGAACAGAGAGGACACTTCCAACTCCAGAATAGGGGAGGTGGGCAAAGCAATGGATATAATGTGGTACAAGGAAGCATCATGATGCTAAAATAACAGAGAAGTTGGGCCTGGATAGAAGGCCAATAGAGATCAGCAGAGGATATGCAGAAATATTGGTGTGTGATCCTATTTCTCAGGAAGAGTAAGAGTTACCAAGCAGAAGAAATGAGGGGTGTGGTTGGAGAGACAGATACTGTAGTGAGTGAGGACAGAGTGCAAAGGTTTGACAGAATCCTGAATACCAAGCAAAAGGTGAAGAAGGTGAGAACTGTGGAAATGAGGAAGGAGACAGGTAAGAACAGAAAACACACATCGTCAGGATTCTGGCACGCAGGAGTGAAGGAGGGGGAGAAGCTCAGATGTACTGGGTCTGCTGCCGTGAGTAAGGACTACGGGAACAGAACACACACAGAGCCAACAGCATTTACATAAGATCAGTGACCTAACACAGGCAAATCAACACTAGGAACAATAGTAAGGATCTATAGGAAAAGAAGTTAAAAATACAATGCTTATTCTTCCAAAATTCATCTACAAATGTAATATTAATTCCATCTCCCCTCCCCAGAGTAGCTATCATTATGACGACAAACCAAAGCAAATGCAGGTTGAGATGGAAATCCGAGCCACCACTATGGAAATCAGACCTGAGGTTTCTCAAAAACACTAAGAACAGGATTGACATATGATCCAGCTACACCACTCCTGGCTTTACCCAAAGGTGTCTAAGTCCACACAGCACAGAGGTAGACACCTGCATAGCCATGTCTGGAGCACTATTCACACAGCTAAGTTATCTGAGTAAGGGCAGAGTGTAGGGTGGGGTGTGACGTCAGGGGACCACAGGTGAGGACTCCATGTTCTGAGCAATTGAGATCCTCCAGGCTGAGGAATCTCAGCACAGCTGCCCTTGGTGACCACGGCCACTCTCAGTCCCCTTAGTGCCCACGGCCACTCTCAGCCACCTACCTGTGCAGGGGCTTTGGGAGAGGTCTCTCTTCACCATCCATACTCCCTGCCGATGCTCCTGGAGGTAGATCACCTCTGGTATAGGAACACGATACCCTGGCATGAGAAATACAGAAAGCAGCATTTACAGGTAAGGACAGAATTACAAATTCATGTTTACAGTGTGCATGCATTGGCACATTGCCAGGAAATCAGGGCGGGAGATAGAGTCCTGGCCTTGGAAGGCATTCTCTGTCAGTTTGAGTCAGAAGCATCCGACCTGCTTGGAGAGCACAGTTCCCTAGCGATGCCTGTTTCAAACTCAAATGAAAGCAGAGGACATTTCTGGCCATAAGCACCCAGCATGTGGGTTTCAGAGCTCCCAAGTAACTGTGGTGTTTAAGGATGACTGAGAAACACGGGACCCTCAAACTGAGGATGGGCATCTACGGACAGTTGTTTGTGGCAGGCCTACTGCTCAGTTGCTGCATCATCCTGCATCCCTTCAAGGGACAGCCTGAGGACTTAGAGCAGGAGGAAGGTGACAGGAGAACGGTGCCGGCTGCTGCCTAGCAGGAGCCAGCGCACCTCTGGGCGTCTAAGCAGATGGAATCACACACCTGGCTTGCTATGAATCTAGTATGACAAAACTTCTTTACTTTTAGTCAAACATGAAGGCTCACAGAAAGAAATGGGACTGAGGCAGCCATAGGAAAATCACTGAAAATCCCACATGGCAGACAAAACAGTTAGAATTTGCTGGGCAAAGGCTCACTGACAGCTGCCACATGCCTGGCACTGAGCTTGGTGGTGGGACCTTGGGGGCGGAGCACTGAACCTACCTTCATTGAGCTCCCTGTTCTCAGGGACTCTGCTCGGCTGGTTCCCACATCCAGAATGCTATTCCTGGAACACACTCAACACTAACACACAAACCAACATGTTTACTCCACTGTGGACACAAGGCTGGCAGAACCCAAGCCGTTTGAGTACCTGGGGAAAGGGAGACTTGGGCTTCCCCTCAGTTCCTACTTTGCACTGGAGGTAAAGTGGCTTCCGTGGAAGACACTTGGGTTTGTCTGTTATGTAGACTACTGTAGCCCTGAGGTGCTCCAAGTTCTGTTCTAGGCAGTCTGGATATTGGCTTACTTGCTTCACAGGTGTTACTAAAGGGCTGCACTAACATGAAACCATCTGGATAATGACATGAGGTCAGCAAGCTCATAATCACCTCTCAAGATTGGGCCTGGGAGGTGATTTCTTTTCTGCAGAGGCTAGCCAACAAGAGCAGAGGACTCAACAATAAGTTGCTACTTGGCACAGACTTTAGGATATATGTGTCAAAAATGGAGGTGGCAGGAGCTAAAGAAGTCACTTGGCTAAGGCTGTGCTGCTGTGAGACACCAGCAGCACCAGGAACAAAACACCTTATTATCACCAAGCTGCTCTTGAGCGTCTGATCCTTGCGCCCTGGCCTCTCATTTGTCTGCATCACAGCTGAATCAACCTCCTGGAGAGCTCCATCCTGGTGAGCCCTGCTGGCTGGGCTGTGAGGCCATCTCACTCAGCCCTGCTGAGTAGTCACCTTCCCTTCTGTGGGGATGTGGAACAATGACATCTGATTGCCTGCCTGACAGTAAAGAGGACCATGTTTCCTATGTAATGATCCCTGATGGAGACACTCAGAAACTGAGCGGGAAGCTGTCATATCATAGTAAGCTGAGGCTGCAGGAACATCGGTGGTGACTGCAACCAGCAATGCCTACATAGGGTGCAATGAAGGCAGCTTTAAGCTCTGCACCCAGAAGAGAAATGGGTCCTTACCCAGGGAGACCAGAAGCCCACAGGTCTCCATCATCACCTCCTGGTACAACGCTCTCTGAGCAAGGTCTAGATGTTCCCATTCCTCCACGGTGAAGGTTACAGCCACATCTTCAAATGAAACCAAGGCCTGGGATAATAAACAGAGGTGGTTGGGTGGCTGTGTAGATCACATGCAAAACTGGAGCCTGTTTCATGGTTATGGGCAAGAATGCAGGAACAGAGTCTGACTGCGGATCTTCTCTTGAGGACCTGGCCTGGCATAGACAATAACCTGTGATGTTAGAAGAGCCCAGCCTGGCTAGCTTAGTCAGTAGAGCATAAGACTCTTAATCTCAGGGTCGTGGGTTCAAGCCCCATGTTGGTCACCAAATGTAGCACTGATTCTAATTGGTCTTAATAATAAAAACCCGGAGTCAGATATTAAAAGCTGACAGATCAGAGAAGCAGAGCAGCCAGTCATTAGTTCTTACCTCTTTGAAATCCTCAGACTGAATGGAGTATCCTGTCTCTACAAGTCCCCAAAATAAATGTCATCTCTATGAAACCTCAGACTGAAATCTGAGCTCCTGTCTCCTCCAGCCTTATATTCCTCTCTCCACCCAGCCATATCACTTCTGGTCTCCATCCCTGTAGTGCTGAGATTAAAGGTGTGAGCCACCACCACTTGGCTCTGTTTCTCTTTTAGACTGATTCAGATTTAGACTGATTTAGACCTCGTTTAGCCCAGGGTGTCTTTGAACTCACAGAGATCCATCTGCTTCTGTCTCTCTCGAGTGCTGGGATTAAAAGTGTGTGCCACCACTGCCTGGCCTCTATGGCTATCTAGTGTGGCTAGCTCCACATTCATCTTCAGGAAAGCTTTATTTGTTAAAGAACAAACAAATATCACCACAGAGCTTAGGGAGGGGACGAGGACACTGTAACTCAAACAATGACAACCACCTCAGCTGCTGAGCCTCACTGGTCTGCCCAGCATAGACTAGTAACCAGGACAGTCAGGCTACACACAGAGAAACCCTGTCTAAAAAAAAAAAAAAAGCTTCTTCCTCGGCGCTACCTGCAAGGTAGAAAACCAAGCACATGCTGCCTAGCGGCTTCCGGAAGTTTCTGGTCCACAACGTCAAGGAGCTGGAGGTGCTGCTGATGTGCAACAAATCTTACTGTGCTGAGATCGCTCACAGTGTTTCTTCCAAGAAGCGAAAAGCCATGGTAGAAAGAGCAGCACAGCTGGCCATCAGAGTCACCAATCCCAACGCCAGGCTACGCGTGAAGAGAATGAGTAGATGGCTTGCATGAGTGTTTTATTTGTGTTTAAATAAAACCACAAAAACTAAAAAAAAAAAGTACGTGAAGCCAGGGCATGTGTTTATTGCTCTAGTTGTGGCGTAGATCTGGGAGAGCAGGGCCTAAAACTCATGTGACAGCCAACTTTATTCAGAGCATCAGACAATTTATACTCCAAAGGTTAAGAGTCACCTGAGTAATGTGTATAATTCCAAGGACAAGCTGCACGTGGCAAAAACATGTTTTCCATAGAGTCTAATGAATAGCAGCTGAAGTAAACTCACTCCTATCCACGACACCTGGAAGGAACACAAAAACACATTCCAAGGACAATTCTGTGCTTTGAACAAACTGAGGTCACAAGATCTTGTCTTCTTGGTGTTTCCTCACGAACACTCAAAATGACTTCGCATGACTCCACACTTGGACAGTGTTCCAACAGGCTGGGAAGATGGCTGCGGTGGAGTGTTGTGGCACAAGGACAGGATTTCGGATTCCCAGGGCCCATGGATACGCCGGCTGGCAAAGGATCTCCAGAGCAAGACGGCTAGCTTGACGAACCGGAAGGTCAGCTCTGTATCCAACTGGGAGACACGGCCTCAATAGATCAGGTGTAGAGCAGCTGATGCCAGACATCAGCCTGAGGTAACACACACACACACACACACACACACACACACACACGGACAGAGACAGACAGACAGACAGACAGACAGACAGACAGACAGACAGAGACGGGGGGGGGAGAGAAAGAGAGAGAGAACCCTCTTGGAAACCCTCCCATCCTGGCGGGCCCTGCTGGCTAGCCTGTGAAGGCATCTCACTCAACCCTGCTGAGCTGGTCCCCCCATCTGTGGGGCTGTGGGACAATGACTGACTGAATGACAGTGATGAGAAGGACTAGAATTCTTTCATAATAATCCCTGATGGAGACACCAAGAAAGCTGAGTCTGCAGGAGGATGCCTGTACATTCAGACAGACAGGCAGAAACACAGACACACAGACACACCTGCTTCTGCCTTCTGAGTGCTGGGATGAAAGGCATTAGTCACTATGTGTTGTAGTCATTTTAGACTACATTTTAGAAGAAGAAACTTCAACTGAGAAAACCCCTCCATAGGATCAGCCGGTGTGCAAGCCCGTGGATCAACCTGTATGCAAGCCCCTGGGTCAGCCTGAGTGCAAGCCCGTGGATCAGCCTGTATGCAAGCCCCTGGGTCAGCCTGAGTGCAAGCCCGTGGATCTGCCTGTGTGCAAGCCCGTGGATCCACCTGTGTGCAAGCCCGTGGATCAGCCTGTGTGCAAGCCCATGGATCAGCCTGTGTGCAAGCCTCTGGCTCAGCCTGTGTGAAAGCCTCTGGGTCAGCCTGTGCGCAAGCTTCTGGGTCAGCCTGTGTGCAAGCCTCTGGGTCAGCCTGTGCGCAAGCTTCTGGGTCAGCCTGTGTGCAAGCCTCTGGGT